CGTTCTGTCACTTCCCTTTCCGTTCATTCCGATCAGTTCCCGAGATTTGAAACCTCACTTCCTTTGCGTGTTTCCTGCACCTTCGACAGTTTTGCCGTGTCAGTCGTCTGACCCTTGCATTTCTTTGCATTTTGGCTTCTCTCCAGTGCCCCCTCAAATTTGTGCAATTCCTTTGATGTACGCCTGCTTCCAATCTTCCGCCCCTTGTTTCGCATCGCAATGATGTTTGTCCGGTATTGGGCACCCCTAAAAATACGGCGCCCCAGGGCAGCGCGGCGGGCCGACTGACGAGGCGAGGTGGGAACTTTGCATAAGGCGCTGGAAACTTGTAGTTCTTTGAGTCGTGGTTTTGGGGAACCCTAGCATGATTTTCCCGTGCACAAGCCACCTTGAAAACATTTCGTTGGAATGGAGGCAGACAAGTCTGCACGAGCACCCCAAGTCTCTCGGACGACGTCATTATAAAAATCTAAATCCCCATGCGTCTGTGTCCTCGACCTATCGACCTGCCCGAGCAAGACCGCAGAAGCCTCAGGCATCGAGGCATCTAACAAGGGTTGGACATCTGAGGTGCGCTCAAGACAGCAAGGGTTGGACAGTGTTTTTCTTGCGCAAGCAGCTGTACGTTGCCCAAAAGCCTAAGAGCTACTTGTCGATGCCGATCGGAGCTTCACACCCACCATGCTCATTTTGCGTGACGGTGGAGATGTACCGCGGGCCATAGGATTGTCCTTTGATCCCCAACATCGAGATCACGCTCTTTGCCGCGCCCAAGGTGTCCAGGCTGAGGTAGGTGCCATCGTCAGGTCCGTGTGGAGGCTTGCTTCCTTCAAGGAAACCAGCTCACACATCTCTGTCATGAAGGCCTTGGGTTTGGCTTCCTTGTCCTTGTCTGCACATGGAACCAGGTCCATGGCGCTCATCTTCATCTCCGGTGGCTGCGGCTCTGTACTCCACCTCCAACGAGTCCACGCAAGGAAGAAGATGTACTTGTTGAACTCTCCTTGGTGAATCCGGGTCTTGAGGCCATCCACGGCTCGCTCCTCGGTGGCCATGGACGGCTTCAAGGTGAAGCTGACCGCGGTTGCCCTGGGGCAGAGCAAGTCCTACTTCCTGTATGTCTTGGTTGACTTAAAAGAAAACCATCCAAAACCATGGGCTATGCAGGATAAGACACAACATGGGTGTTTAAAGATGAGTTGCATGGCCAGGTCCTTCTTCAGCGTCTGGATTCCCCGGTCCACCACGGCCGTGGCGTTGCGGTCCTCCGGGCGCTTCGTTCGGTGCCTCCTGCATCGATGCGAAACAAGGGCTGAAGGAGAAATACAAGGAAACAGGAGTGACTGAAAGTGAACGAAATGAAAGTCAAAGGAATTGCACGAAAATGAAGAGGGCACTGGAGAGAAACCGAGATGCAGCAAAATCCACGGGCAGATCGTGAAGGGAACGAACGAAAAGGGAAAGGAATGCGAATAAACAATTCATGGGAAATGGCTGGGTGGGCTGGAAAAAGGATGGGATGCAAAATTGATGGAAATGAAAGGGCGTTGATGAAAAAAATGCGGGAAATGGAGGGAAAGGGGATGGATGGAAAATGTGTTGATGGAATGAATGCAAAATGATTGCAACAGGGCGCGCCCCATGCCGCCGACCATGCGCAGAACATGCGCCGGCCATGCGCCGACTATGCGCCGACCATGCGCATACGTTTTGCGCTGGGCCCATGTAAGGGGCGAAGGATTTGCGGATTGGCTTAGGCGATTTCCGAGGACTGTAGCATCCCCCGCAGCATCCAAACACGAGTCCAATAACGAGTATTTTTATGGGGTGCTTAATACTGGACTACAGCCCCAGCATTGCCAGCATCCCGGATGATGTGGATGATGCTCTACATGGTCGCAGCCTTATACCTGAAGGTAAGCCCTACCGGGTCACGTCCGGTGGCCGGCGGGCCACCAAGCGTGCCACGCAGGTGCTGACGGGGGACAACAAGAACTTCGTGGTCACGACCGACCTGGGCAACGAGTTCGCCACGTTGGACCGTGGCTATGGACTAGCATATACAGCCCAAAGATTGTACCAAGGCTACACATACATACATACATACATTATATACATGAATGCATACATACATACATACATGCATGCATACAACATTGCATACATGCATACACACATTACATTACATTACCTTATATTACATTACATTACATTTCATTACATTATATTACATTACATTACATACATACATTACACTACATACATTACGTTACATTACATTTCTTTAATTTACATTACATACAAACAGACATGCATACATTACATACATACCTACATACATTGTATCGCCTTATCCCGGGAAGAAGAGAGGACAAGCAGCCCACTCACCAAGAATCCCTTTCTTGCCTCTAAGCTTTTTCTTCATTCCTCGCTTTTTCCAAGATTATTTTATATACGAGGAATAGAAAGGAAAGAAGCGAAGAAATATTACATGAAACCCAAGAGCTCTCACATATAGATCCGGTGCACCGGGAATTAGAGGGTTTCATGCTTTCCACAAATTAATAACAAAGAGAAGGAAATGGAAATAGAGTGTGAGGATAGACACAAGAGCTTCTTTCATAGCCATATCATCCTTTCCCCGGTCTCTTTGGTTGCTATGGAAGAACTTGAATGAAGTGACTCCTCCAAATTCAGTATTCCTTATATATGGATAGCTTGTTATACAAATTACCATAAATTTATACATACTTTTTTCAATTGGAAATTGAAGTAAAACATTTTATTTATCTAGTGCAATCCATTAACCTTGCCGAAAAAGTAACCAACGAAAATCAATTATAAACAAAATATCACGAATCTCCAAATTACTATCGTATTCAAATACAAATTAACGTGGCTTTACGACAGCAAATATAAAATATAAAGATTTCTTTAAAATTTATAATTATATTTTTTATAATTAATTATTATTAGTTTCTTATTATTTTTAATATTATTATTGTTATCGTAATTATTATATCAAGCAGCAAGCTGCCCAACACAAGAGAAAGAAAAATATTATTAGCCTCCAAAATAGTTCGGGCAAAGCTCAAAAAACGGCATTAACACCTAATCTACACGGTAGATTCCAAGATCTTGTATTTCAAAATACTATCGAATCAAATGCAGTATTATATATAGTTTCAAGTCCCAACAATTCTAAAAAACACTTTTAATATATATATTTTTAATATTATAATAATTATATATTCATTTATTCATTATATAATATTAATATTATTTATCGAACATATCTATATTTTTCATGTAATTTTTAACATATATTAAAATTCATTATAAATAAAATTAATTTATTATATATATATATCAATTCAACCCCCATCAAACAATTAACCATATCAATTATAATATCTATAAAAATAACAATATAAAAAAATAAAAAATATCAAAACATATAAAAACACAAATTCCTACATCTTTTAGCTTTAAAATCACATTTAAATAATATATATATCATTTTTTCTCATCTTTAACAAAAACATAAATAATCCACAAGATACTTTAATCAATATCTTCAAACAATTAATGTACCAATACCGATAAAAATAAAAAATAAAACACATTTTAAGTATTTTTTTTAAATATACATATATTATAATTACAATAATAAAAATCAAATTCCAAAATTTCTTCAACATTAAAATAATATATATCATATCATCACAAAAACCCATACTAATATATCCAAACATTATATTAAAATAACAAAAAACAAAAATCATAATACAACATATGTTTAATAACACCAAAAATAAAACAATATAACAACATATCACATTCATCAACTTCATATCAAAATATATCATATAAAGCAAACAAAAACCATTATATAAATACATAAAAATCAATTTAACAAATCCTAAATACTATAACACAAATACAAAACACTTAAAAAAACAAATAAAACAACCTATAAAAACAACTAAAATATACTATCAATAAAAATACATACATTATAAACCAAAATAAATACACTATTTTTTTTTTATAATAATATATATTATAAAAATTTTAAATTACATTATAAACATAAAATAAAAATAATATATAATTCTATAAAAATATAAAACCTTGTAAAAATAAATAAACACCATTATAATATAATTATAACAAAACAAATTCCTATCCAATAAATATTAATAATATTTCAAAATAAATATATTATAATCCCCAAACACAACACAAAATTAATATAAACAAATCTTTGTAAAAAAAAACACTTCCTATAAAATAGTTATCTTCAAATCAAATTATTATTCGAAGAATCAAATAAATAATAATAATCAATATAAATATATATATATATATATATGTATATATCATCTTTAATATTATATATAATTTAAATAAAACCGGCATCCGAAAAAACAAAAACTATCATACATTATTTATATATTAATGAGAAACAATTATAATAAACCAAATAACAAAAATATACATATAATCTAACTCGTACAAAAAACAAATCCCCAAATCCTCCCGCATTCCAAAGGCAATCAAATGCCTAAAACAACAACACAAAATAATGGGGACCCAGGATTAATAAACCTGTCCCATTATTAGGGGGTGTTCCCTCCAAAAGTGATGAATCCCTACTAAAAGGGGACACCCCCCTATTACCAGGGGTTTATTAATCCGGGGTTAACATTAGTTCCAATACACACCAACACAACATGCCCAATTGTGAGATGCAGTTGCACGAAACGCTCATCCCCTATATCACCCAAACGCGACCCCAAAACCAAAAATACCCAACCTTCACAGAAACATGGAACTTCCGAGAACTGGCTGTGCGTATTCGAAATTACTTGCAAATCAGCACATGCTACGACTTCGAACATTCCCCAATTCAAGCCACATATGCAGTGTTACAAACAAGTTAAAATTGAAATCTGAGCACATCAACACCCCTCATCCTCCACTTTGCACGGGATATTTCAATCTGAATCTTCAGGCAGTTCGCCTGTCGACACACCCGGCCTTTCCACAAGGGATTGGCTTGCTCATTTGGCTGGCCCCACGTCTGAACTTTTGCCGTGTATGGTTTGTCAACACACAACTTTCCTGCATGCTCACCCTGAAATTTTCGTATTAGAAGGATCAGGGAAGAGGTGCTGTGAAAAAGCCCTGGCACCCCTCTTGGGATCAATGCAGGGAAGAAAGTGGGGAGAGGGTTGTCAACATGTGGCACCGCTTCTTGGGATCTTTCCATGAATGGAAGCTGAAGGCTCCACCCAGCAATGCAAGAAAATCTGAAAAATACATGCGGCCACGCATCGCAAAGCCTTGCCTTTGCGTCTCTTATTGCGGCTCGCCTGCTGCGACAGCGGTCTGCAAGTTTGTCGCCAATGGGGGACTCCAGGAAGGGGGAACCGGCCCCAGTAGGCAGGCGCTTGTAAGATTTGGTGATTGTGCACACATCACGACTACATGTTTGTGGCATAGGCAGCGAAAAGGAAGCCATCCAGGAAGGTTCCCCTCCTCGCAAACGACGCACACATTCGCTCTTTCTCATAGAGAGAAATGTGGACCCTTCAACAAAGTCTGATTTACCAACTTTGTGCCCACCCGGAATGTCTTCTGGGAATGCCTCGCAGCAAGCCTAAACTTCGAATTTCATGCCGTGCCTCAATCAAACAAAAGCACACCCTGCGACATCCTTCTCATACTGATTCACCGGCGCAGGCTCTGTTGCAACATGTTTATTGTCATGCTGTCGCTCTGGCCAAGTGAGGCCTGGCGGTTTCTGCTGAATTTCAATTCTTGTTTTGCCAGCCGCAGCCATCAAATGCCGAGCCGGGGCCCCACAACAACTTGCCGTGACAGGACACGGTTTTCGCAAACTCGCTTGAGAATGGCCTAACGTGTGCCATGTCCTGACAGAACTCCTGAACTCCTGAACTCCTGGGATCTCCTCACCGCCAAGGCAAATTTGGACAGCTCCACGCCTTGGGTTTGGCCTTGGGCTTCTCCTTTGCCTCAGCCTTCGCCTTCGGCTTCCGCTCCTTTGGCTCCTGAAGGTTCAGCCCTACAGAAGGGCGTCTTCTTCAAGTTTTTTGTATTTTTGAGGAAGTTTTAGTGTGAAACCGCTCATTTGTTTTGGGGGCGACCCCGTTTTTTAAGACACACTAAGCCGCATAGGTAAGCCCAATTTCTTGACCCTGGCTCCTTGAGCTCCTTTGGCTCTGACTTCTTAGACTCCTTCTCCTTGGCTCCTTTCTCCTTTTTCTCCTTTTTCTCCTTCTTGTTCTTCTTCTCCTTTTTCTCCTTCTTCTCCTTCCCCTCGCCCTTCTCCTTCTTCTTCTTCTTCCCCTTCCTGGCGACAAACTCGCACAGCCTTGCCAGGCATCGAAGAACCTTTGAGAGCCGAATTGAGCCCATTGAGCCCAGCTATTATCCGCATCCGCGCCTGTTCTCCTCCTCCTCCTCTGCCTCTTCCTCCTCTGGCGGTGCTTCCTCCTTCACGCCCAGAACCTTGCACGAAGTGGCCCCAGCATTGACAAAGACTGCACCATCACGACACATGTCAAGATCTTCAAGGCTCTCAATGTTCAATGCCGCAACTGGTCAGCCAGCAAACGGCGCCTCTTTCACGTCAGGCCAAGGTGGCATTTCCTCCTCCTCCTCCACGGTGCCCTTGCCCTGTCTCACAGGCGCAAGGTCTTGGTGCTTGTAGCAAAGTGCAGAAAGAGGAAACTGCTGCGTGCAAGTGTGTGTGTGTGTGTGTGAAATGTATTCTCCCATCTACTTCAAAATGTATTTGACGGAGGGGGCCTGAAAAGCTGGACTTCCAGAGGCCAGGCATCTGGAACAAAACGCATGATTAGCTCCCTGACAGGGTTGCAAGGGAATAAAAAGCCAACTTCGAAAGACAGGCGTCTCAATGCCCCAAACAGAATGAATGACTTGAAGGAACCGCAAGTTTGATCGATCTGCCAGCAAAGAAGGAAACGGTTCCTGGCTTTGATAACCCCTATGACCCATCAAAAACAATAAGCCCAAATGGAAGATCAGATCCTCTCAAACCAAAAAACAGTTGGTCTCTTTGCGGTCTTCCCAACCCCCCCCCCCCTCAGCCATGAGAAACCTCTCGCCAACAACAGAGAACCCAGGGGTCCGTTTGGAGGAAACTGATTCTCCACAAGCTCCCAGCGGTGCGTATAGGGGGCTTTGCCCAAAAAACCATTGGGCCAAATTAGTAGGCCGTTCATTTGCCTGGCTTCATGGAGCTATCGCAAGGCTTATGTAAAACTTCTCACAACAATGTCAGTGAAACAACAAGCTAGTAGGCTTTGAGTCACTCATGGGCTTGGCGATTTCTGAGGCCAGCGCAGTACCCTTGCCCTTGCCTGCATCCCATGCGCTGGCTCCTCATTTCTCTGCTCTCGTGGCTTGGCAAAGAAAGAGAAAGGAAGGACTACTCTCGGGTGCATCCAGGTTTTTTTCAGTCGACATTCCAAAGGAGTTAAGCCCTTGCTGAAGGGCGCAACGCCGAAATGGCAACGAGTAGCTTTGGAGCTTTGAGCATTCGACCCTCGGATTCCTCTGTTCCGTGCCCCATCAACTCACCCCCTCATTCAAAACCAACATACTTTATTAATCAAATTTACGAGAACACATGTCACATTGTTGTGACTCAGGTTACTAAGACTCACCGAATTAGATGACTCTCGAACGGATTGGCGGCCCCCAGTATCCACATTTTGTCTCTTTTTCGCCATTTTGAGGCACCACTGCTGCACCAGCACAGCCACTCCAACTCTCCGCAACCAACCCCCCCCCTCAAGCCCGCGCTGTCCTCAAATCCCTTCCTAAAAGCTTGACTTTTAGTGGGTTAAATGGGGAAACCAACCTCCCCAACCATGGCTCTCAAGTCTCGCAAGTGGGTTATAACCAGGCTTACGAACCACTTACTAAAGACCGTGCCCTTTAAACCCCCCCGCTCCCCCACCAAACCCCCACAACCTGCCCGACCCCCTGTAAACCTCTCCTGGTCTCTCCCGGTACCGGTCCGCAGGTGCTGCCACGAAGCTGGGCGCGTCGTAGACCGGGACCCCTCGCTAAGCGCGGAGCCAAGGGCCATAACAGCAAGGGTCTGTAAACAAATATGGAAAACAAGGAACATTCGGGTGCAAGACAGTCTGTTTTAACACTCCCCAAAGGGGGAAAAGGGCACCCCAGCTGACTTGGACCACTCGGGCCCGCGCAGGCCACTTCAGGCTTGGGGCGCAGGTGCTCTGGCAACAGCATCTTTGATACCTGACATCTCGGGCGGGGGGGGGGGGGCAAGGTCCCAAGTCCAACCGTTTTCCAGCTTTCTGCAAACATTCCAGAAAATAAAGGAACCAATAGCTGTCCAGAGCTTGCACCGACTGCTTTCAAATCTAAAAAGTGGGTTCACTATTTTGAGACAAACCCGTTTGGACATGAAAGGACCAAACAATACTTGTTCAACTGTTGAGGGCTCCCTAAGGGGCCAAAAACCGTTGCAGCCTTTCTACTTGAAACTCATCTACCTTTTGACCAGCCTGGCCCAAAACAGGTGGCAAAACATTTGCCAATGTGTAGCGGCAGGCAAACCAATCCAGTCGGGGTCGTGGTTGGGAGTATGGGAGGGGTCGAAGGGCAACTAGGCGCAGTCTGCGAAAATAACCTTGATCCCTCGGAATGTTTACTGGTTCACTTGAGGGAGCCAGCAAAAGAGCAACACAATTCCAAGCGAGCAACAAGCACATTGCCTCGGCTACCTTTTTGATGCCGTCTGGGGGACACCAAGAGAAAACCGCCTTTTGGGTGGGTGGCACTCCTATGCTGAAACAATTCCAAACGCCAGTAGCTTACTTGTCTCAAATGCCTCCCGCCAATCTTAACTTGCCTCTCGCTCGTACACCTCATCTTGTGTCGGCAGGCTCTCCTCCTCGCGTGAAAGGAGCTCAAAGGCACTGCTCCCCTAAAACGGCACGCTCCATCCAGCCAGAAGGTCAGGGAAAATGGGAAAATTGGAAAATGGTAAGGGATTGGGGTGGGGGTCACCAGTTCAAATGGCCAATCCACACGGACAATCCAATGTCATCCCCCCACACCCATCCCCCAGTTCCACCTGAAAGGAGCCTCTATTGTTTCAGAAAACGAAGAAAGCAAATGCACCTCCACGTCTTTGAACACAACTGCAAAATCAACGTAGCACTCATATGCCACTCTCCCTTGACACAGGACCCGCGGCAAATGACGGGACAGGTCTCCGGAACTATCATAACATTAAAAGTAAGCAGGCATGTTGAAAACAGGTTACAGACATGGGGAACAAGTGAGCCCCTAAAGAAACGGCTGATATTTTCACCGAACCTGCCACACCCAAAGCGCAAGGCCAGGGAACTGTTATGTGGCCCTAAGGTTCACCCCTGGCACCATACATACTCCACAGGCTGTATAGTATACTGGGGTTGTCTTCACACGAGACACAAAGAGTGATGCATTTGTTCATGGTTTCCCTCCCCCCAACAACAAACAACCGCCCTAAAAAGGGTACTTGGAAAAAACGAGAGGAGCCATCCAGAAAAACGCCGAGGGGTAGGGTTTTAGTAAATCAGGGGAACCCAGTGAACGCCACACGGGTTTGCAAATCGCTGGGGGCTGGGCAAATGCTCGCAGGAGCTCAAGCCGAGCAGCCTTGGCCCTGCCGGAGCTAAAGGCACCCCGGTGACGCGAAGACCGAAGAATGAGGACCTAATTGATTGGTAGGTTGTGGGGTACTTAAAACTGGATTTTGTCATCGGGGTAAACGATTTTGGTTGACCCGAAGCAACACAAATCGACATTTAAACCACACCTCAGCCTCAAACGGCTACAGAATTCAACAACTAATGTCCTCCTTAGAGTGACACAAATGCCCTTGTATAGTTCTGACGTCCACCAAAGGATCCCTAGTGAAAGAAACATGCCCGCACAAGGTACTGAGCCTGGACGTTGCACGTCGACAAAATATCAGAAAATAGTGACAGAGTGATTCGTAGATGCCCCTCACACACTGGAGCGGTGGTGTGCCTTGCCATATGAGAAAGGAAGTCAAAGCCCAAACCACTCACACCTGAACAATTGCCGCCAGTATGCGATGGCACTGGTTTGGTCCCCTGTTCAAAAGCTTGGCAAAGCTCGACTCTTTTGAGGCACCGACTGAGAGAAACAAGGGTCGATTTCTGAGACATTTTCTGGGCGAATTGCACGAAGGATTTTCCAAGAGCGCCATGCGCATTTTCGGTCACAAACCCAATCCCCGGAGGTCGACTCGATTTGGTCAAGAAGTAGCCTGCATGGAGCGTAGCAGCTTCCGGAACTTTGGCAACAATTCTATGTGGTTAGTGTCTCCCGCTGCACAACAGGTCTTTTGCTGGTTGAAACATGCATTGTCACCCCACAA